CGGAGGAGGAAGTTAAGGCCAAAACAAATTGCTAACTCATTTTGCGCGCTGATAAAATCCATCCTGAGCATGGCTCTGTGTTTGCTAGGTAACAGACTCCATATTTATCCAATGGGGCTGAATTTTGGATATGTAATAGTACACACCCATTGGAACAACTGTCATGAAGAATACTGCCTCATCCGAGCTGTGTAGGTTGCTGAAACAAAGCTTGCAATATGACCTACGAAACTGGACTGGCAGGGGGCTGTAGCCAAAATGAGTTTGTCTTTAAGCTCTTCTTCCATTCATCCAAATCAGGCCTTGACATGCTTGAATTGCATGAATTATGCTCTCTTGCTCTATTGGCCTACAAAACACACAAAGGGAGGCAAATCACTTAGAAATCTAGGAAACTAAGCAAAAGAAGTAAGTAAATAGGGCATGTATATGTATGAAATTATGAGCTTAACACCTAGCCACAAATTGTGGCTTTCTCTAGATAATTCTCCCAAGGTTTGCATGTGGCTGCTAACTTCCCATCAAGATATAGTACTTTCTTCAAGCTTCTAGATTTCTCCATACATTTCTTTAGCACAAATGTGCATTAATTTCAACAAAAACCAAACATGGTACCTTCTAGGTAGAAGCTGATGTTCCAGAAGATCATTCCCAAAAATCCTCTGGCATGGCCCAAAAGACAGAAAGTGCAAAATGAAAAAGTAAACCTCTCTAATGTCAGGTTGAGCCTTCTCATTCACCTTATTTAAAATACTTGACGGTGCCATGGAAAGACAAAGTGCACTTCCAAGGATCCATTGTTTGAGTACAACCCGAACCATCAAAACATAAATACTATTTGAAACCATCAAACACAGTTTTTGCATATGAACGACATCTGTGGACTATCTGAAAGAACCCTAAATTAACTGAGTACACCCTATGATCTAAGTGCACCTTAATATTTTAATCAAAATGTAAAATTAACTAAGTACACCCTATTTAACTACCAAATATACCTCTGGTACACCCTAATACACTCTATCACACAACACCTTAATGGATCTGAATCATCTGCTTGGATTTTTGGCAAACGGACAAAAGCTAACGTCGTCAGTTATCTTCTTCTTCAGAAATAGATTCAAGGAATCCCAAGTACGAAACTCAACGACGCCAATTTTAGTCAGAAAAAGAAAAAAAAACCCCTTCTATTTCCAATCAAATTATCACCAATCTGACTAGTTCACAACGTAATTAATAATCCATCCCGCATATACTTCCATGACTGCAACAAGCTGCAAGTGCAATAGGTGGGAGGAGATGAATGCGTGGGATTGAGGTTGTGTGGAGCATTTTGTTTAAGGTAGAATTCCCTGTAATCGGTGTAGGTGTTGGAGGAGGCCTGGTTGTTTTTATTATTCTTATTATTATTTGAAGTGCTACTCATTGCAAATTATTGCCCTAACAAACATAACCAGAAGGAACTGCAAATATTGTGTATTCTTTTGTCTTCCATATTTTCTTCTTTTCATTTCAAATCCAGCTAACACCTCTATTTTACTCTCTCAATTGAAAAATATAGAAAAAATAATAAGGGTTTTAGCTGACTGGCTTATAAATTATAATGGGATTGAGAATAAAATGATTTCTACAAGTTGAGAGTAGAAAGAAAGGCGATGGGATAAAATAAATAAAAATGGGGTTTTGAGGGTTTTGCAGACTCTTAGATTTTTGAAGAAGATGAAGAAAAGTATATATCCTTTTTGGTCATTTTATATTGGGATAAATGAGTAATTCAATAAATAATTTGGTAGGAAGGTATACTCGGTTAATTTTAGGGTTCGTTTAGCAGCACTCTTTGATAATTCCCTATATGACAGCAGTGAAACATAAAATGTCTTCCAATATTTTGAAAGTTTAGACATGCTTACTCATTCTTACTTTTAGTTGAATATATTGAAGGTAGATTTAACACTCAAAATAGAGTCACATAGGGAAACATACGAACAAGAAAAAACAATGAAATCTAGTAAGGAAAACCACAATGTTGAAGAGATCTCAAGTTCTACTCCTTTTCTTTCTTTTTTCCTTTGGGTGTCAATTATGCATATGATGCGTATACACAAAAGAAATTAATATAACAATAAAAAGAGCAGAGACAAAACGACCCATAACAACCCAATCATCATGCAAGGGAACAACACATGCACATAAAATTAAAATTGAATAAAAAAATTGATGAAATCAATAATATACCAACACAATTACAAAAAGAGAAAAAGGGAAAACGTGGAAAAAGAGAATAAAGACGATAGAGATGCTGGCTTTAGACTTTACAGGACGAATTTATGGATAAGAGAAGCATCCAATGCAATGCATGTAAAATATATGACGAGAAAAACTTGTATATCGCGGGAATAACATAGTAACATAGTTCTTTGATGAAAATAACAAAATAGTATTGTCCAATAATATACCAACACAATTACAAAAAGAGAAAAAGGGAAAACGTGGAAAAAGAGAATAAAGACGATAGAGATGCTGGCTTTGGACTTTACAGGACGAATTTATGGATAAGAGAAGCATCCAATGCAATGCATGTAAAATATATGATGAGAAAAACTTGTATATCGCGGGAATAACATAGTAACATAGTTATTTGATAAAAATAACAAAATAGTATTGTCCCGTGACATGCAAGTTAGTTCTCGAATACACTACTGATGATTGATAATCAGATGACTGGCTGTGCGGATGTTGCAAAAGGAACAGACATCCGAGCTGCAAGCGGTGGCTTATTATTATGGGCTAAGCCTGGCCTACTCCCCACATGCCTCATCCTGGAATTTGACGATGGTGATAGAGTTTTGGTGGGTCCTGCTCCTCCACCAGGATGTCGATTCTGATCAGGTGCTGCAGCAGGAGCAGCAGGAGGCAGCATGATCAATCTCACTGGGTTAGGCCCCACACTAACCGCCTTCTCACGTCGACAGCTCAACAACCCAATATTGTTCCCTTTGCTGCTGCTGCTCACTTTCATAATTTGTGCCACGTCGGCAACATCACGATCATGATCTTGATGATGATGATGGTGATCGGATGGTCGGTCGAAGCCCTCAGCCGTGGTGACGCTCCAGTCGATGCTGGCCTCGCTCGGCTCGTAGCAGTACTGATCGGTTGACGTGATTGAATCGTGGCCATCGGATCCCGAGTTGATATTGGCACCCAAACCGCGTCGACCGCGGCCGATTGCATCCTCCTCATCCAACGACTCGCCGCGGGTGCGAGAGTAATTTTGTGTTTGGGCATAAGTGGTAGAGAAGCTCTCGATCTCGAACAAATCAGAACTTGCATCGCTTGCCACGTCATCATCAATATTATTATGATGATGATGATTTTTGGGATTAATATTATTATTAAGAATGTTAATTGGGGGTTTGGGAATTGAAGAAGGGAATGTGAAAGTAGGATTCGGTGGGTTTTGGAATATGGTTGAGATAACTGGCGATGACGTGGACGTGCCCCCAATCCCATTCACTTTCAATATAGGAAAGCTAAACCCACCACTAGTAGTAGTAGGCCTAGGCATATTGTTAGCAGTGATCTGTTGGTGCTCATCCCACTCCGGACGACGCCGTTCTGGACCGGGCCACACTAGGTGACGACGGTTGTCGATCGGCGGCGCGATTAAGGAAGAGTTCGAATCGCCGGCTGTAACAACATTGGTGGTTGCCATATTGCCATTATTAATGGTAATACTCTCTCCAACTCTAACTCCGACTCCGACTCCGACTCGATTGACTGATGATGACATGTTTGGAATTGATGATTTAGTCTCGGGATCAGCAACTCGAACCGATTTCTTTCCGGAGCAGGGGCATCTCCTTGATCTTCTCGTTGGGAAAATACTGAACCATCGTACACCCAATTTCTTCTTCATCTCCTTCTCCTCCTTCACATTGTCGTGATAAGGATGAGGAGCAGCATTATGATTAGCAGCACTGCCACTATGCAATGACGTCATGAATGTGATGTTGGCGGCGCCGGCAGGACCACGAGGACGAGATAAGAGGCCAGGCTGGCTGTTCCAGCTGGCCTCCGAAGAAGCCGTTGGAGTGGTGGCGGCAGTGGCGGAGGCAGCAACCACGTGGAAAGAACGAGCTCGCGGGTAGTTATTTCTACCCATACTACTATAACTAATATTATCATCATCAACTGCAGATATTGAAGAACCTGCGGCCCAAGAAAATCTCGAAACTGTTTCACCAGAAACCTGCACGCATGCAGTAAATATAATTTTTTGAATACAAACGATAGTCTAAATCTCGCTAAATTAATTTACTTATAAACATTTGTTATTACCTTTTGGGTGTCGATGTCATTGATGATGCTTAATTCATTGTTCAAGTACTTGCGGGCGTCAAAAACGCTTATTTCTTGATCATCAGTGCAAGGATGAGGAGGAGGAGAAGGAGTTTTCAAATCCACGTCAGCTACGTGAGGATGATGAGCATGCTGTTGTTGTTGACCATGGTCAACATTAGGTCTCAGATTCGACCAGAAAGAATTTGCATCATCTCTGTCTCTCAGGTGGCATCGGCTCTTCTCAAACATGCTGCTGCTGCTGCTGCTTCCACTGACACCTCTCCATACTCTTGACCTCTCCATTATTAATTCCCTCTTCTCTTCCTACAGCCTAGAGCATTTAAATATTTATACATAATAATACTCTCAGGCCTCACGCGTCACTACAAAATTAATTTGTCCAATTGCTCCAACTTGATCAATCATGAATAGGAGTGGGCATTTGAAACGGTGTACCAAGCCCAAAAAAATAATGTGTTCGCAGAAATCAAATTAGACTATAAACAAACTTAACTAGATTGATTTGGACCAATTCGGTTTTTAGGCATTGCAAAGTCGGGAGCTTATTTGAGGCGTTCAATCCCACCATCAAACCATTTAAAATATTTAAGTTCATTAATTTCCTCACATTTGTTGATGATTGGATTGAACCCCTCAAATAAACTTCTCACTCTAAACTCCTCCGTGCGAAGCCGGACCATATCAAATCATAAATGTTTTATGACCTTTTAAAGTACACATAGGTGGATTTTTTTTTCTTTAAGGTAAGGTAGAGTGTGAATTGTCTTTGAGTGATAAAAAAAAAGTTTATTTTGGACGTTATTGGTTGTTCAAAAAAATTGGTGGAGGCTTGTATGCCATTTAGAAAGTTTTTAGGCACAATGCATGTATGCAATTAATAGCAAGACTGAACTAGGACCTATTTTGTCTCACCCCAACTCCGAAGCCACCTGAGCTAGAGCTCATGAGCACTCTGGAATATCAATATCGTCTTTCCATAGAAACCAATTTTGACGTTTATGACAGAAATGATAAAACTGACAAAGAACCTCAAACATGACAACCAAACCATCGGGACCAGTTTATTACTTACATATGGTATGGTTCAAGAAACAAGGTTTTTACCAACCACCACAAGTTCATAACTGGTTCGAGATCTCCAATCAATAAACTACTAGTTTCATGCCAATACAGACTTCCAGTGGAAATCTTGCAAAACATCTGAGCACGTCTCCTCATTAGCCCGGAGGCCAGTTCAATTGACGTCCTCCAAGGAGATGAACATGAAGGTGATAAACGGATTGGCCTGCAGGAACACATCACTCACTATGAAGTTCAAAAATTTTACACTGAGAAAGCACAAGGGTTCGAAGATAAAGACTTAATGATAAGTCACCAATCCCAAGCACTTAAAGTAAAGAAAGAATAAATACGCACATCCGTTTGGCCCATCATTAATCACAATCCTGAAGCCATCATCAAGACCTTCCTGCTTGGCAATCAGCTTGGCAGTGTAGAGAAGCTGACCAAGAATTTCAATGTGTCTCTCCTCTGCCTGGAAAACATAAAATTTAGCAAAAAATTACATTGAGTTCCACAACAGAGTGTAATCTGTCAATTATGAACTGATGAATTACAAGACTAAATAAGCACATACTCATATAAAAAATACCACTTATTGTAAAGGGGGAGTGAAGAAATGATAGGTTCCTTATATCCATGACAGGAAACATTAATATCCACTAAACATCCCATTTTATCCCACATTTCATCTTATTCTAATATTTCAGTAAAACCAAACCTTGCTAATGGCGTTTCCCACTGTTTGGAGATGGAGTGATGCTGCAAGAAGCTTACTGCAGTCAAAGTCTCACATATCTATTCTTCTTCTTTTCTTTTTAATTTACATATAACTTCTAAAATCACCCAACTCTTTCAAAATACAGAACCACTAAGTCGCTCATGCACAAATTTACTAGCTAACATTATTTTGTAAAACCCTCAGTCACATACAAATATGATACTACTACAACAATATATCAAAGTATGGAAGGTGATGCTGGAGCATAGTTCAAGCACCACATGATTGGGAGTCTTTGTTCTTTTCATGTAACTAAGGCAATTTAGACATGTATTTTTAGGTCAATTACTTCGAACCCTGATTATCCATTATTTCTGAATCTCTGTATGTCACATGATCAATGTCTGAAGTGTTGAATTATGTCTTTTGGAATTCCTTAAGTGTATAAAATAACTAACTTGGATCTTTCAATGATTCATGCATCAAAAACCCCCATAAAAGAGCTACTTTGTGAGCTTTGGCAAGTGCATAGAGAAACAAATAACAGTTTTTCCTATTTCCCACTATGTGTGAAGCATGAATTCCCCATCATAATAAAATTCTAGCTACGCCCTTGGGATGAAACTCTAACAAGATCACATGAAAAGGATATTAACCCTATCAAAATCATCATACATAAATTAGGTTTGCTATGCATGAGTACAATAAATTTTTTTTATTTTTTTAATCCTTCGGAGGATTCCCTTTTGGATCAGTGCCCCGAGACGAGAAGAAGAGAAGCATCTGAGGAAGATTTCTTATGCTTTGGCAGGAGGCTAGAAGCCTTATGCATGTCATGCGTTGCACTGGAGTAGATGTCTACAGTTAATTGCTATCAGTCTACCCAGATCTTAAACATTGAAGGGCAAAGCATAGCGAAAGAAAGTGAAGTTTTTATGATTTTCCATTCATAGTCAAAGGCCAATTATCTCCTTGTGATGAAGTTCTGGTACAATCACAAAATAAAAAATATTAAGCTCAACCACAATCAACATACCCTTCAACAAATTTTCAAGGACCATTGTCCAAAGACATGGGAAGAATAGGAGACTACAGGTTGTAGCTTTGGTTTAATTGCTATTGCCTAACCTAGATTCTGCGCATTGAAGGGCAGTGAAGCATATACAGAAACAATTGAGAACCAAAGATTAAATGCTCATCTATGTACATGAGGATATAATACTGGTTGGCTATGCTTTCTGACTTCCAGTCGAATCAAGATTCCGGGAGGAGCCATGAGTTGAACAAGTGTGAAGTAAACTTAGGTTGCTGATTCTACTGTGGAGACTGAACATTTTGCAGCAAAAAAGGTTTTTGGCTCCGGAAATTCATGGTCCATACCATTACGAGTGCACAGCAGCACAAATCATTGGTTCTTTCTGCACTAAAATCTTAATTCACATTGATAATAGAATTGGAAAAACCATTTGATTGACTGTGATGGCTAATTTATATAGATTGGCTCATCACAACCATTGGGGTGATTAAGATCACAATTAGTGTTCTGGCACTGTGGGTGTTGAACAAGTCACTTACTAGATTACTTCACTGAATGTCTGCCATATTGTGAAGTAATCTTGTATGCTAAATAGCAATTGGCTCTTAATACGGAAACAGAAATGGATTAACAGCTCTGGGTTTGGTTGTTTGTTTTTGTTGCACTTGCATTAATCGTTTTGATAAACTCTAGTAAGGTCCTATGAAATCCAAGCAGAGTATGCTCTTCATTGGTTATAACATTTTCTTTTTTTATTTTAAAAAAACACACTTTCATTAAATGAAGAAAGAGAAAAAGAATCAGATGACAAGATGTCCTCTGGCCCAACGGTCAGACTTGCAAACTGTATGATTTAAAACAGCCACCAAACTACAACAAGAAATCAGACTACCACACCAATACTCTTAAGACATGACAGCTATCCAAGCAGATAGCATAACAGAAACAGCCATCACAACACACGTTCCCACGAACCACTCCCTTCTTCTACCTTCCGAAAACAGAAACACTAACACAATAAAGCAGTGCATGAATGCAGAAAATCTCAGAAAAGACAGTTCTGTTAAAACCACACTGTTTTCCTCTCATAGTTTGACTAGGATTAGCATTCCCATGAAGATTGCTCACTTACTCCATAATTTTTTTTACTTACATTTTCTGTTGTAAGATTTTCTATTGCAGATTTTGTGGAGATTAGACCACAGGCATGCACGTTCACACTGACCATCATCAGGCTTTGCCTTGACATTGTCCAATATGCACATATAACTAGAATTGCATCCTAGTGAGGTAAAAATTTAAGCTTTTTGATATATAGTTGATATAAACCATTTGCGTTTATTACCACGATACACACAAATGTATTTTTATTTTTTTCTTTTAAATTGTTAATCATCAAGCGCAAGTTGCTGTGGCTAGTCTACTAGTTTGCCACTTCTCTAATACACTATATAAAGTAGTGTTGACGCTTTCTACTCTTTTGGAAAAAAAAATTCAAGTGCACATTGTTAGGAAACCTATCAAGTTCCTGAAATGTATGTGTTCCCCCTCCTTGGATTGCTTATTATTACAAGAGAGAAAAAGGAAAACACCATAAAAAGAAAGGAAAAAGAAAGGTCAGTAGCAAGTACCTTAGCGAGTCCAGTTAAGCCATCTCTAACTTTGGGAATTATCAAAATGTGTGTCGGAGCTTGGGGATTAATGTCCCTAAAAGCAAGGACCTATTCAAAATAAATAAAAGGGCGGGGTGAATAACCAGAAAATGGGTACTGTGAAATCAATATAACACCCAGAAATAAGGTGACTATATTAAAAACACATTGATGAAGATAAACAGCTTTTGATTAAACAAGATTGTAAGAATACAGATCTCAATGAATGTTTACATACTATAAATTATATATATATTATTATACATCCCAGCCTTAAGGAAGCAAGTGAATCTCCATTAATCACATTGATTAGGTGGTCTCCTCAAAAGTTTTGGCCTTGTATCAGAAAATAAGCTATATGCATCCACTATTTTCCCAATTTGCAGCTCTTAAGGGCCCATTTGGTAACATTTCTGTTCTTTGTTTTTTGTTTTTGTTTTCAATCAAGGGTAAAGAAGAAAACAATGACAGAGATTATAGATATGAAAGGTAAGAGGAGATAGTATGCATTTTTGAATTTTAAAAACTAAAAAGAAATTATAAATATATGTTTTTTAGTTTTAGCTTTTTTATTCTCTCTCATCTCTCATGTCCCTCAAAATATTTCCTATTCATTTATTTAAATAAATAAATAAACTGAAATCATACCATGCAACCCCTAAGTTATGAGCAAAAGTTATTGTCAATAGTGATAAGGACAGGATTGGGAACTCAAGTACACCAAATATTTTGAAACATGCAATTCCATTAACTTCACTAACAAAATCACAATGAGATTGGTAATTTTTAGAGGAAGAGAGATACTAATATATGC